AGATTCATTATATGGATGATTTTTTCAAGATAATTTTCTTCATCCCAACAGTTTGAACTCCAGGCCTTTCAATAAGGAAAATAAACTTCTTATTACTTGAATCAGTGATTATTGAATTAATTTTTAATTACTTAACGAGTACTTTAAAAACACTCATTATTGAAATCTTTGAATTTTTTTGTTTTGTTTAATACTTGTCAAACATTGAAATGCTTGAACCATTCCGTGCGACAAAAGTAAAAGCATTTCATTAATGTTATTCTAAAATTGCAATGAGTGACACGTCAAAATGATTTTTGACCAATACATAATTGGATTTTATAAGAGTTATGTTGTAGGAAAAATGATTGTGTAATGTTATAGAGATTTGTTTTATGTGTCATAATTTTTTTTTTTCTTCAAAAAGTGTGGGCCTCACAAAATGTTGTGTGTGTAGAAAAATTTATTGTGTCATGTTAAATGACAAATATAAACCCCTACATAATTTAGACATTTATGCGCCCGACAGTTTCGTAGCATCATCCTATTGCTTTACACTTTACACTTACAGTATCTTAGAAATAGAAATATAACTATTAAGAATTATTCATTTTAAGTTTTTGTGAGATTGATAATATGATATAATATCACAGTGTTTGTGATTAAGTGGTTTAAAGTTTGATATTTATTGTTATATTTTTTTAATAAGTATTGTGAAAGGACATGATAATAATATTATAATATAATATTTTTTTATGTACCTTCACCTATAAATTTATATTTTTAGGAGAATTAATTGCATGACACATTTTCACAAAAACAAACACCTAAATTTAATCATTCTTTGGAGAATTTGTTTAAATTACTTAATCTATAATCCTTTTGTTGGGATTGCTTGTGAAAGATCCGGTTGCTGGGACATAGTTTTCTGACGACGGTATGATAGTTCAACATTTACTGGAAGAATAAAACAAAAAGAAATTAAATGGCTTGACCATGAACCGTTAACAACATTCAATGCGTGTTGCTTAGATCGAAGAATGCCGTAAGAACAACGCTTGCTGCGACAGAGAAACTCAGCGAATACGAAGAAACACCTCCACAGATACTCTTTACTAGTCTTCTGTCTCGGTCATTACAGCGCAAAGAAGAATCTCCCATTCTGAATTTCTCATCCAAGTTGGAAGGGAGAGAGAGGGCTTTCTTGATTCCAAAGTACATTCCTAACCTATAATCTATTTAATGATAAATTTGAGTGCTTCCTATCTCAAATTGCTACTATTAGAAAGCTCCTTCTTTTCTTCGAATATAATAAAATACAAATTATCAAATGGTGGTAGCTCAGTTGGCGCATGAAAGCTAAGCAGGTGGGGATGAGAACATGTGTTCGATCATTTCTAGTACTATCTTTGAGAAGAGTTTAAAGCTTTAATTCCGGACTCGTCCCGAATCAGACTAGTCGCGAAGATGAACCAATTGAAATATTTTTAAAAATAAAACAAAATACAAATTTTATCTACACTTAATTATATTTATTACAAACAAATTTCATTGTAAGGAAGAGCAAGCAATAAGTTGCTAACATAATATTTGACGAAGTGTATTAGAGTATATCTAACGGTTAAATATATTTTTATTGTCACTTAACATTTTAACAGTAAGTACTTTCGGTCTCTTCTAAATCCCCACTCCACTAATCATCTTCTTTTCCCACTCTTCTCAATTGTTTAAACTGCAGTTAAAGTAACCCACCAACAAATTAATTCATATTCCAATTCGGCTAACTTAATTGATACAGTTCACTCTTACCTCTTACCAAGTTGTATGAAACATAGTTGGTTTTATATGTTCGTAGGCTCGTAGCTACACAACAGAAGATGTATTTAAAAAGAAAATCATTACCAAATTCCTTTGGCACAATTGATAAGAAGCCTAGGCGCTTTAATCAGAGATTTCAAGTTAAAGCCTTGAGAATAAAAAAATTGGGAGAGCCACCTTCGATAGAATCCAACAATGTTCGATGAAGATTAGTCTCCAATTACGACTGGAGAATACCCTTAAGATTACTCAAAAAAAATAAATCATTAAGCTTAAAACTGTGACTTATGTCACCGACAAACACAGAGCAAAATATATAAGAATTTCAAAGTGGCATAATTCAACTACTTAAGCAAAAACATTTTAAATTAGTAATCTGTAATTAAAATATGAGAATTATATTGCAGTTAATTTTTAAAAATTATTTTTTTCGACGGAGGCCTTTTTTATAAGAAAAAGTTGTTTTGTAAATAAAATAATTAGTTTTGACAGGAAATTATATGTTTTAATTTAATTATTCTTCTGAAAACCCATGTTCTTTACCATTTAATACAAATAATATTAGCGTTGGTACTTGGTATGATGGTTGATAAAAGTATTCAATAAAAGAAAATATAAGCTTTATCATTCTAGTACAAATCAACTTTTTTTTACTTTAACGAAAAGTAAGATTTCATGTGCTTTTATCTTAAGCATTTAGGGCCCGTTTGGATGAGCTTTTTTCTCTCCAGAAGTTACTTTTTTTGTGTGAAAAAAAGCACTTTTCATTTTTAGTTCGTTTGGATGTCTACTTTAAAAAAAAGCAGAAGTCACAAAAAAAGTTAAAAACCTAATTTTTTCTGAAGCTAAAGATTTTAGCTTCTAAAAAAACAGAAGTCAAAAGCTAAATAATTTTTTCAAAATCTAAATATTTTTATAAAAATATAAATAGCTTTAACTTTTGTAAAAAAAACTTCTAAAATAAAGAAAAGATAAAAGTTACTTTTTTTAAAAGCGGAAACAAACGGACTCTTAGTCTACGTAGATTTATTTCAGAATATTATTACTTATTATTTTCTTATTTTTATTAGGATAGTTATATCATTATATGTATTTATTTTTAAAAAAATATTTTATTGTTAAATTATTCGGACAATCTACTATCGCATTCATATTATCTTTTCTCAACTATTCCAAAGACTTATCGCTCCTAGAGTTTACTTTTATGACTCACTTATCAGGTGGGGTATGGAGTTTGAATCATAAGTTTAATAGAACTTAACAAAAACCGATCGTATTTATTGTGGGGACGGAATTTTTTTCTTATCACATGCTTTATTATTACTATTTTTAGAATATTTTTATTCACGTATATACAATAATGTAATATTTCTGTATTTACATTGCACAAAGTAAAAACTATATTATTTATACATATATATGTGTTACCTTTGTGAAGCAGAAGCTAGCGAAAAATGAAGGAAGTTCACAACTTTTAGGGCGTGTTTGGTATATGAATTATTTTTAAATGACTGGGAAAAAGAAGTTGGTTTTCTTAAAATGCAACGTTTGGAACTTCCTTTCCCGGATTTTCATTTGTAGTGTAAAAGTGGAAGTAAAATCCAACCAAAAAATACCACAAATAAGTTGGTATTCATGGAATCCTGATATTGAAAAAAATTGATATTATTTTTGGGACAATAATACCCTTTGTTAGATGCTTTCTTCCTCCACGCATCTGTTCCTATTATTATTTCTCTTTTCCGTTTTGTTTTTGAGATAAAATTGAAGTCTTTGCTTTTCCTTTCGGATATTTTTAGCTATCAAGAGGATGATTATAACAATGAAAACATAATAGAAATTTAATAAATTTTGCTGAGAAGTTCGCCTCCATAACCACGATCTCTTGCTCATTTTACTCACAACTGAAGCTTCATCTTTAGAAATACATTGCAGTCTCTTCTCAAAATCATCTCCACCAGATCTAAATATCACATTCCAGATTCGTGAAACAAGGGGCGCTTCTTTTTTCAGTCACTTCATTAGTGGTACTCGTCTCTTTCCATTTCGATTAGGACAGAAAAATCTTGATTTCCATTTCTGGGTTTGATGTGTAAGAAAATAAAGGGTAATTTTGTAAAAGCATGTTACATTCCCAATAATATTTAACAATCAATCAAACATAGAATTAATAATTTATAATCAATATTCCTTGTAATATTTTTGCTTACCAAACAGTTTTTTGTTCACATTCCCAGAAAATTTACATTCCTAACATATTTTCAGTAATCATGATTCTTGAACACAAAAAAATTTCTCGTGTACCAAATGCTCGCTTAATGAGGAGGGTGAGGGACTCAATCCCAAACCCGAAAATGCTATAAAATCATGAAAAAAATCTACAATGCTAAGGTAATATAATTATAGGGTTTTGCATCTATCATTTCACAAAAAAAAAAAAAAAAAACTCTGACACGCAAAACGAATCTTTATAACATAATACAATCACTTTTACTACAACATAACTCTTATAAAACCCATAATTATAATACTACAGTCACATCCGGTGCTCCGTGCGACGGGTATTGAAAATGCGCTCCAAAATCATAAGTCCAGTAGGAATGTGAAACACTACCAAATTCGCCTTCATACATTCGTGACTTTGCCATCTCTCCGGCTCTGCAGCCATCCAGCTACTCTCTTTTCTCTTTTTCATTTTCTCTCTTTTTTTTCATTTTTTTATTATTATTAATACTAAAGCGCGTTTGAAACCTCAACCTCCAATTATAAGCCACCTCATAGATCTATATTCTTTTGTCAATTCAAACTTCCACCACACTTCAAACCCAACAGGGAACAGGCGAAGCCGACATCGCTTCTCTATTACACACACAAACACACCATTTTCTCTTCTCCAAAGAAGAAAAAGGAAATCCGCACACTGTATACAAAAAAACACAAACTATGCAATCTAAGCCAATACCCAAACCAAAACCAAAAGCACCATTCCTATTCTTTCTCATTCTATCCCTCTTCTTGCTGCCATGTCCATCGTGCTCCTCCACCACCATAAATGGCGCAAACGATGGCACCATCATCCTCCAATTCAAAGAAGCCCCTGAATTCTACAACTCCCCAGATTGCACCTCCATTGCCGACAGTTCCGACAGCGACAACAACAACAACAACTACGACGAAGACACTGACAGATACATATGCTCCGATGAAGCAGTTCATGTTGCAATGACACTCGACAAAACATACATCAGAGGATCCATGGCTGCAATCCTTTCGGTTCTCCAACACTCTTCCTGTCCGCAAAACATATTCTTCCACTTTGTCTGTTCCTCCAACGCGTCTTCACTACGCGCCGCAATCGCTAGATCATTTCCTTACCTCAAATTCCAAGTCTACAACTTCAGCGATTCCGTAGTCTCGGGTCTCATTTCCACCTCCATTCGTTCAGCACTTGATTGCCCTTTAAACTATGCACGAAGTTACTTGGCTAACCTCTTACCACTATGCGTTCGGCGAGTGGTGTACTTGGATTCAGACCTCATTCTTGTCGATGACATAACCAAACTTGCAGCAACACCATTAGGTGAAAACTCTGTATTAGCAGCCCCTGAATACTGCAACGCCAATTTCACTTCTTATTTCACTCCAACATTCTGGTCCAACCCTTCTTTGTCACTCACGTTTGCAAACAGAAAGCCTTGCTATTTCAATACGGGGGTGATGGTGATCGATCTAGAGCGGTGGCGAGCAGGGGATTATAAAACCAAGATTGAGGAATGGATGGAGCTACAGAAGAGGATGAGAATCTATGAGTTGGGTTCCTTGCCACCCTTTTTGCTTGTCTTTGCAGGGAATGTTGCTCCCGTGGATCATAGGTGGAACCAGCATGGTCTCGGGGGTGATAACTTTCGTGGTCTATGCAGAGATCTGCACCCTGGTCCTGTCAGTCTGTTGCATTGGAGTGGCAAAGGTAAACCGTGGGTTCGATTGGATGCTAATAGACCGTGTCCTTTGGATGCACTTTGGGCACCCTATGATCTACTACGTACTCCGTTTTCTCTTGATTCTTGAAGAAACTTTATTTACAAACTTGGGATCCATATGTATATGTAGTTTGTATACAATTTAAGCTCTCTCTCTTGGCGCTTTCAAGTCGAAAGAAGAAGATTGAACGGACAATAGTACAGTTCAATATACACGAGAGGAAGAAGGGCTTACCTTTTTGTAGATTCACGCCGATTTGAAGCAAACGTAAGGCAAAACAGATTCGAACGCAAAGGAGGAAAGGGGAGATTGATGGTGAGAGAGATTCATAATTGTACTGTTATTATTGTATCAAATAACTGTGCATATAAAAAAAGAGCTCCATATTTTGGATGCCTCAATTCATGAACTTTTTTCCCCCCACCAATAAATGTGAATGTAATAGAGTTTTGTATAGGCCGTCTGTTTACTCTTCGCTGAGATCATCTTTTTTACTTTATCGAGTGTTTGGTAGGAGAATTCTTTTTCAATGCACGATAAAGTAAGGGTGGATTTACTAGAAGATCATGTTTGACAGCCAATTTAAGAAAAAATTTCAGGGAAAATTATTTTCCTAGGAATCAATTTTGTGTGTAAAACCTATATCAAAATATCACTGAAAAATATCACTCAAAGAGTGGTATTTTGAGTTTATGGCGTAAATGAAAAATTAGATGTGAAATTTGTGTCAACCAAACATAGCATCCCAGAGGATGTTTGGTATAGGAGGAATTTTTTTTATTCGGGAATCGTAATTCCCAAAAATATGGTGGAAAAGTGAGTTTCTCATGAATGTTATCAAAAAATTTACGAGAATGTTGGATTATTTTTCTTGATGTTATGTTTGGTTAAAATTAAAATATTGCTAGAAATGTGGTTGAGGTTAATTATGTCCCAAAAAAATTATCAAAAATTCTCATCACATGAGATTCTCAAAATACCACATATTTGGTGATATTTTAAGATATCATTTTTCTTCATAAACATGAATCTGGAGAATCTAACTTTCTGGGAAAAAAAATTTACAATCGTCGTACTAAACATGGGTAAATTGAATTCCCGATCTCATTTTCCCAGGATTTAAATTTTTTTCCTTTTACCAAACACCCCCAGGAAAATAAACCCAATATTTCTGAGAATATTTTAGCCTACCAAATAATTTTTGGGTAACATTATCATTAAACTCATGTTTTCATCATATTCCCGTGAATCAGGATTTTCAGATAAAAACAAAAAAATTTCTCTACCAAACACCCCTTCAGGAAAAACCATTTGTATGCTTAAAAGATATAAACTTATATCCTATCACCCCTTATAACTATGTATTACGGGGAATACATTGTTATAATATTAAAGTTGCTTTTTTGCTCACTCTTCAAAAACTTTTCAGAAATTTGTTGACTGATGTGGAGAGAGAGAAAATAACAACTTTCATATTATAACTATGTGCTCACCGGAGTACATAATTATAAGGGGTGAAAATACTTAAGTTTATATCCTTTAAAAGACACACACTAAACCCTTCATTTTATTAATATTTAGTATTTTATACCAGTGTTTGAATTTCTTCTGATAATCTTGTGTTCATGGACATTTGGAGGCTACTATTTTATTCTAGCTAACTGAATCCTAAGTCAGACCAGTGGGTTGATCAATTACCATGTTCAATTTTTCTAGACAAAATGAGAGGATTCTTAAAATTTTGAGGTCAAAAAGAGTAAAACTTCAAAGGTTTTAACAAATAATAAGGAGACAAGTATATTAATGCTTATTTTTCGAGTTACAAGGTACTTGATTTTTCTAAATCGCGGTTTTGAACTCGAGTATTGTAAATGGAGAAAATAGACGCTTGGATCACTACTGAGTTCACCCATTTGATTAGATTATTGGGACTTTATCTAATTTCTTCCTTGTGGAGGTTTTAGAAAATAAACTATAATAAAGGGATAGATTATTCTACCTATTATTTTTCCTGCTTATCTTTGTCTATCACTTTAAAATATCATTAGATCAGAATCTTAACTAATATTTATCTTTTCTTACAGTATGAAAGCATTGAGAGAGAACAGTGGAAAGTACAGGAAAAGGAAAACTGAATCGATTGATTAAATGAACCATTACATCAATGTATATATATACAGTCCTGGCTATCAGAAATGGAGAGCCCAACTAACTACTTCATTAAGTAACTAACTAACTGACTAAAGCTGACGTGTAATTGTATTACAAGTAATCTCTACACCCCCCCTCAAGTTGGAGGATGAAGATCATGAAGCCCCAACTTGAACAAGAAGTTATGAAAAGGAGCTGGATGTAAAGCTTTAGTAAAGCTGTCTGCTAATTGTTGAGATGTAGTAATTGGTAAAAGACGTAGAAGACCAGCCACAATTTTTTCTCTTGTAACATGACAATCAAGTTCGATATGTTTGCTTCTTTCATGAAAAGAAGGATTGTGTGCTAAATGTATAGCTGCTTGGTTGTCACAGTAGACGACGGCTGGTTGAGTAAATGGAACCATCAAATCATTGAGAAGATAAACCAACCACTGGAGTTCACAAGCAATAGCAGTGAGCGCACGATATTCGGATTCAGCAGAGGAGCGAATCACGGTACTTTGCTTCTTGGATTTCCATGAGATTAAGGATGACCCAAAGAAAACACAGTAACCAGTGGTAGACCGCCTAGTGTATGGACATGTAGCCCAGTCGGCATCAACAAAACCACGAAGATCTAATATGTTATTTGCTGGGAAGAAGAGTCCTTTGGCTGGAGATCCTTTAAGGTATCTCAGGACCCGACAAGCTGCATCAAAATGAGGTTGCATGGGATTGGCAACAAACTGACTTAATTGTTGGACAGCAAAGGCAATATCTGGCCTAGTATTTGTGAGGTATAACAACCTACCCACCAGTCGCCGGTAGCTGGCAGGATCAGAGCAAACAGTTCCCGTGTTTTGCTGAAGACGTAATCCTGGTTCCATTGGGGTGGAAGCTGGTTTGGCACCAGTGAGGCCACCATCCTTAAGAAGCTCAAGCACATATTTTCTTTGATTAAGTATCAAACCATGAGAGGATCGAGCCACTTCAAGGCCAAGGAAAAACCTTAATGGTCCAAGATCTTTTATTCGAAATAACTTGTCAAGATGATTTTTGACAGATGTTATTTCTTGCATATCATTGCCACTCAATACCATGTCATCAACGTAAACCAAAAGTGCAGTAAAAGAATTTCCATTTACCTTGGTAAAGAGTGAGTGATCAGAGGCAGATTGAGTGTAGCCAAAAGAACAAAGCTCTGCAGTGAGTCGAGCATTCCACTGTCTACTCGATTGTTTGAGGCCATAAAGTGATTTCTTCAATTTACACACTTGTTGTGGCTTATGTGCAGTAGTAACTCCTTCTGCAACCACCATGAACACCTCTTCAGATAAGTCACCATGTAAGAATGCGTTGTTGATGTCTAGTTGCTCAAGGAACCAGTTTCGAGCAGTAGCTATGGCAAGGAGTAATCTAATAGTTGTGAGCTTTGCAACAGGTGAAAAAGTTTCAAAATAATCTACACCTTCCATTTGATTATACCCATTTGCAACTAAACGAGCCTTGTGTCTAGCAACAGTACCATCGGGGTTATGCTTTATTTTATATACCCATTTAGATCCAATTGGGCGTTTTCCTTTGGGTAAGTCAACAAACTCCCAAGTATGATTCCTATGTAGTGCTTCAAGTTCTTCATTCATGGCAGCTACCCATTCAGGGGACTGTGCTGCTTGTTTGTAACTAGTGGGCTCAACAAAATAAACTGATATTATGGCAAAAAGAAGTGTATTCTGATGAACAGTGCTTATAAGACACTAAGGAAGACAGAGAATGATATGATTTGGGAATGGAAGTGGACACATTGCATTGATACTCATTGAGATGTTTAGGTGGAGCTTTCACCCGTGTGGAACGTCTGAGTGCTAGATTATCATCATGTAATTTTGGGATACAGCTTGTAGATGGGATTGGTTGTGGGAGAGGATCAGAAAAATTGTCTTCTGTTCTATCAAGAAGAACTATTGCTGATGGTTCATGAGGAATTGCTTCTGATGTGGCAGGACTAGTAGCAGCAGGAGAAGTTTGTCCACCTGTGGGAAACATATCATAAGATGAAGGGATATCATGACCAATAGGCCATGGGTTAGTACTTTTGTCAAATATTTCAGTAACAAGTGGGAACTGGTGTTCATAAAACATAACATTTCTTGATACAAGAATTTGTCTGGAGAAGAGATCATATAGCACATATCCTTTTGTTCCATCCTTATGCCCAATGTATATGCATTTTGATGCCCGAGGATCAAACTTAGAACGACCAGCAACAATAGTAGATGCATATGCTAAGCATCCAAAAGCTCTGAGATGCGTGAGTACAAGTTGTTCACCATATAGCAGTTCAAATGGTGATTTGTTATTCAATTTTGGTGTGCTAAGTCTATTGATAATGTGGATGGCATGTGTAACACAGTAAGACCAAAGACTGCATGGTAATTTGCCTTGAAAAAGGAGTGCTCTAGATGTATTGAGAATATGTTGATGCTTCCTCTCTACTATACCATTTTGTTGAGGTGATTCCACACAAGAAGTTTGGTGGAGAATCCCTTTTTGAGAAAAGAAATCATTCATTTTGAATTCTACTCCATTGTCACTTCGAAATGTTCTAATTGTTTTATGAAACTGAGTTGCAATTAAAGCTACAAATGCCTGAATATGTCCTCTTACTTCTGATTTGGATTTCATAAGAATGCCCCATGTAAAACGGGTGTAATCATCTACAATTGTTAACAAAAAACGATGACCATGAATTGAAGTCACAGAGTACGGGCCCCACATATCAACATGTACAATATCAAAGGCTGCAATTGATGTTGTAGTACTTTGATTAAAAGAAAGCCTCTTCTGTTTAGCCATATGGCAAATATCACAAGGATTGTCTAAGTACTTACAAGTAATGAAAGGGAACTGTTGAATCATAGCTCTTATTACAGATTTGGAACAATGTCCTAATCGTAAATGCCAAATATCAATGGCTTTAGTATCAACTATGTAACTACTATTATTGAAAGTCTTCAAATCTTTGAATGAAACTTCTTCAGGAATTCTACCCATGCTGTCAGCATTTTGAGAAAAAACATACAATCATTTCTCTAATCTAGCAGAACCAATCACTTCCAAGTGATGTCCCTGTTGAATGGTACATGTTTGA